AGTGAGGCACTACCACTTCGCTTCTCCCGCTGCGCGCTGCGGCCGGAGTGAGTGAGAGCCCCGCGGCACGCAGCCCCGCCAGCAGGAGTGCGACCGGGTTGCCTATCCCGCCGTCCGCAGGGGCCTCGCTGTACCACCCCGCCGCAGCCGGCCCGGGATGGACTGCTCTCCACCGACCACACCTGCCTCGTTTCCTAACATCAGTAAATTGTGCGGCCCCATCTTCATTTTGACCTGATGAGTAAAAAATTTTCATGCTCCTTTGAAATTTTTTTAGACTGATTTCTACACGTGCAAATTAGAAATTACTTCATCTGCATAAAACAACAGAATGCACTTTCCATTTTCATCAGGCAGCAAACAAAGAGCTGTTCTCTAAACCACTCGAATCCACCTGCAATTACTCCGGAAACATTTTAAGCTCGCATTTCTGTGGAATGGTTGCTGCAAAGCTCCGACCGTGAACTCGCTCCCAAAGCAGGCACACCTCGCCTCGCCTCTGCCCTCTCTCAAATGCAGGCGATTTTGAGACACTTTTCCACTTCTTGTGGACGGCGCGAGAGCTTCCGTCTGGGCGGCGCCTCGGTGACTCACGTCTCACTTTGCGGCACGCGAGGTGCGCGGGGCGCTCCCCGGTGGGGCCCGGCCGCCGCAGCCCGGGGATGCTGAGTAGCCGTAATAGCAGCTCGTTTGACATTGTGTCAAACAGGCAAGGCTACGGGCGGAGGAGGAGCGGGCGGAGATTCTAATTTAGCCGGAAGGTGGTGGCAGGAGGAGAAGAGTTGGAGGGGGGAAAGGGGGGGGAGTATGATGCGGGGTGTGGGGAGCGGTACCCACACCCCTTGTGCGAAGGCTTACACCGCAGCGGGCGCGGCTTAGAAGTGTCGCCGGCCAAAATGAAGGCGCTCACGGCTCTCGTCGTAATTTGAAAAAATCCCCCTAAACATTAAAGGGGCTGGACTGTTTACAGGCGGGAGCCCTGCGGTGAAGGCGAGGCGTACCCTCGCGCCGCTTGCTCGCTATCCAAGGGGCTGCTGGCTGCTACAGCGCGGTGTGCACGTGACCCCCCATCGCTCAGGGTCTGTAACGCTGTTACATGATTCAATTGCACGGGGATGTAAGTACTATAGCTGCCAATATAAGGAAGTGCGACCTCACACAACATAATTAGTTTTTATATGGCACAAATTGAAAAAAAAGTAACTCTAACATTTGCATTTGACCTACAAATTCAAGAGTAATTATACAAAGATGAATAGGAAATCTGTCAATGTGCGCGTATCCATTACAGTCTAAAAATGGGGGGTGGGGGGGGGGAATGGGTCCCCCACTCGGCAACTCGTTGTACACTTGCGCGCTCCCAACTCGCGCTTAACTCGCGTTCAACTCGCAAATACTCACGAAACCTCGCAAAAACTCGCGAAAACTCGCGTCAAAATCCCGAAAACTCGCACCAAAATCGCGTAAAACTCTCTAAAAGTTGATCCCAACTTGCGCTCTACTCGCGGCAACTCGCCAACTCGGCAAACTCGTTGTACACCTATTTTAGAAGTGAAGGACCCCTCGGGGGGAATCGTTACAAAGGTATGTTGTTACGCTTCATAGCGCCATAGCAGGACTGACACGCGGACTGAACACCCTTTACAAACCTTTGCGACCCGCTAACCAGGGTGACTAAATTGTCATATTACCGCTTAAAGCTACATATCATAAATACTTAATTGCGAAAACTGCATAAGATTAAAACCCCAATGCGGTTTAGCTTTCGTTAAAGCTCCGAAACATTTACATTATAAATCCGAAGATCCGCACAAAAAAAGGCGAATCCAACGACGGTCCGTATACCATAAATACCACTCCTCTACTTTACGATCCTATTGGAGAACCGTAGACCAGGAACAGCCCCCTATGTGTTATCCCATTCGACCCCTTCCCTCGACAATCTCATCATCGGGGGATGAGCAACAAAATCCTTTCCAATTCCAAAGGTGCAGCGACAGATATCGAAATAAAATAAAATAAGGCAAGATAAAGAAGAACAAGAAAAGAAAACTCACCAGCATCGAGATCCTCGCCATGTCGCTGGTGGATGCTGTCGCTCCTGGCTGGACTCACTACACTACACGTTGCGCTCCGCACACTGCGTCCGCCCGCTCAAATCCCCCGCATATATCGCTCACACAGGTGGACCCGCCGCCGCGGGTGGTGGTGGGGGGAGACGACACACAAAAAAACACTTGGAAAATAATAATCTCGTGAGTGACACACGTGGAGTGACCGGCGAAGTGACGCGACGACCTGGCGCGGACACGAGAGGCTCAGGGGGAATTGCCATTTCCGCGCCGCTGCCCCCTTCTTTTATAGCAGCACTGAGAATTTGCAGCGCCTCGCGCGCGCGGCTGCTGGGGAGGGAAGAGGGGGAAGGGGGGGAGAGGGACAGCGTCACTCACACACGGGCGGGCGGGCACACCGACGCACCCACACTCCCCACGCTCGCGGCAACAATGCGCGGCCACCCTATCACGCACGCAGAGCCCCCCGGCTCGCCACGGCCCGGCATAGGTGTCGTGCAAAATGTGCCAATCTGGCTATGACTGGCTAAACACGTGCGCCCCCACCCCCCAACACGATGACACAAGAGGACCACAATGCCCAACCGCCGCCGGTCTCGGGTACAGCGGCAGCAGGGTCCGCTCGCTTTCACAAAACGGTACTGTTTTAATAAATCTGAAAAGGGAAACAAAAATGAAAGAAAGAGGAAATCCGACAGGTACATCCCGATGTGGGTAAAAAAAATCAAAGACCCTGCTATCCCTTTCGTAAAGAGAATGCCCTAAGACCAGAAACAAATGCTAAAAAAACATTTACAGTGCGAACCCCTTTCCCGGACATGGTGCAGGGGGCAAAGTGGACGCGACGTCCTCTGGCCCGTTAGCCACCCGACTGATCTCTTGCGGTGCGGCTGGGCGGGCTGGGCCTCTCCCGCCTCGCCCTCGGTCACCGTCACCCTAGCCCACCGCACCGAGCCGCAGCGTGCCCTTGGGAACCCTATATTTCCTCATGCGCAAATATTGACTCATTTTTGTCGTTCCATCTCTCTTGCACTCTTTCTGTTCCCTAGGTAAAGTGAGGTAAAAAACACTTTGTAAAGAAAGCTTTCATAGCTGGTACGCGTATGAAATGCTATGGAATGAAAATAAAACTTTAAACAAAGAAACGAAAAAACGCACCCTGCGGCGCGTGGCTGGACCATGTGATGTTTGTGCCGCGACCGCCGAGCCGGTTGCAGAGCGACAGTCGCGCGGGCGGGGCTGCGAGCGCGGGCAAGCGCGGGGGTTTGCGTGCCGTTTGAAAGGGGAAAATACCGAACCACAAATAATGCCAAAAGAAAATAACTGCATTTCATTGCCAGTGCCAGTTGGTGGGTGGACAGGACAGGACTGGCCCGGAATCGGCTTTGGTGTTTGTCGTTGTCAATAAGGCATCAAGTATTTGACGAGCGTTCGCATGGGGGCAGCAGTGCAGGACCGGCCTTCCCCCGCCCCTCCCCCTCCACGCGAGGCTGCCGCACCCCACTCAGGATGATGCATGACAATGTCTGCGGCCGACAGAAACATGCAGCTCGTTGTGCGATGACAATATTAGGGGCCCGTATCAATCACACATCCGCACAAAATGAGAGGTTTTTTCAAAGAGCGAGAGATAAGTCGGAATCTCATTTCATTGTCATCTTTTCAAAGGGATTGGTGCTTTGAAAAGAAACTAAATCGAAAGAATAAAATAGTTTTGTCCAAGTTCGCGGCCGAGTGAGGTCGCGGGTCGCGGTCTAGGGCTTGGCCGGGCGGCCGAGCTGGACATCGCGGCTCGACAGCCGTCACGTCACGAGAACAAAAGGATGCTGATTGTCATTACTGGAGCGTCGAAGGGCGGGACGAGGGGGGGGGGGTGACAATGCTCGTGATAACACCTGCAGGCGCAAGCGGCGGCAACGCAGCCGCGCAGAGCAGGTCGGCTCCCCGACACCTGCGCTCCTGCTGCTGACGTCTCGGAGCGGGCTCCATAGGCCGCGAAAGTGTTTGGGCGTGTTTCGAAAGGGGCGGGAAGGACCCCCCGTGGCGAGCCCCTTGTCGTTCAAGAGAGCCGCCGCCGCGGTCTGCACTCGCTGCCGGGCTGCCTGGTGTCCAGAGTGCCTCGTCCATCCGATCTAATCGTCGCGCTCTTGTTAGTGTTCATTGGCGCGCTCAGTGTGCAGGCCGCGCCGAGCCCCGCCACCCCCTCGCACTGCAGCAACTGCAGCTTCCACTCGCCGCTTTAACAGGCGAAGCGCAGTCGCTCGCCCGTTACTCCCCGTTCCTCCCGCCGCGCCTCCACCGCTCCTGGTCGAGTAGTAGTTGCACTACTGTTGGACAGCGGCGACGAGGGAAGGTTTAAACTCTCGTCAGCTTCTTCCCGGACCCGGAGGCCGTGCCGCACGTCCCTCCTCGCCTCGCGCGAGGTGCGGGGCGGAGCGCTACCAGCCGGCCAGCTCCTCAAAGTGGTGCTCGGCTGCGCGAGACTTTACGCCCCCTGCCATAAAATCAGGACGTCGACTCCTTCTTCTCACTCCGGCATGCGGTGCGCGTGGATAGATGGCCTGCCGTCCACGACGAAAAAAGCGAGCTGCCCTCACCGACAATTTAAATCATGCCTTTAAAAAATGTAAAGGATGTTCAAAAGCCCCATCACGGTCAGCCTTCTCTTTCTTTGGCCGCGATTGCTCAGCTGCGCCACGCCCGTGCCGGTTGGGGCAGCCGGGGCGCTTCCTTGCAGGGTAATGAAGCGTCTGTAAGAGCGAGGCGGACGGTCGGGTCTGCATGCCGAATTACAGTTTGCCAACTTCTAAACAAGTTGTTGAGTCGACGGCATTACTTCTCCGCAGGCCGGGCGTGGTGGGCGGTGGTGGGCGGCCGCTGGCGGACAGCGCGGCGCTCCGAAGGGGGGGTGAAAACGGAAGAGGCACAGGCACCTCGGTCGTCAATTACACTCGACAATAAAAAAGAAATGCACATTCGTGGAGACTGTTGTCTAACGTCCAAATGAAACTGCTTCCACCGCCGCTCCCTTGTTTTTCTTTGCCTTCCATAGTGGACGGAAGAGTCCGAATTAGCTCGGCCTCGACGGGGACCTCCCTCCTACCCGGGACCCGTTGCACGGCCAGCGCGAACTCCTCCGAGGGGAGGGAGCGACGGCTTATCTCTACGCGCCCATCTCCCGCATGCCGACCTCTCCAACAGACCGCCTTAGGGGACCGAGGGATGAAAAGAAACCAGAGCAACCTTGTGGAGAGAACACTTCCCCGCGAGGCAGGATAGTGGTCTTATCGGTTCTGACTTTCATACCGGGCTGGTCGGTCGACAGGGGGTCGTATGGGTCGACGCCGGGAGGGTTATTGTTCCTTGGATTTGGCTTTCCATCTCCCCGATCCCGATGAGGAGAAAAATCGGTCCCAACTCCAAGAAGGCGCTCTGGAGAAAAGATGATCTGGTAGATAAGGTGTGGTGACCTCCCACAGGCGGCTCCAGACCATGGGGACGGGAACGTGCAGCGTCTGCACCGTGAACCCACTCCTGCCGACGCATAGACGAGCAACAGGTCAATAAAGCATTCCATTGACCGCTGAAAAGAAATTTCCTTAAGAAGAAAAGCAGGCATTCAATGGTTGCTGAGATCGAGCTGTTAAAGAAGATTAATCACGAAAGAGTTTCAAATTTTAATAAATTCAAAATGCGCACTGAAAGCCACAAATCTTAGCTTTAATACTTTACCAGGTCGAAACAGAAATTTACGTACCATTTGCTACATAGCTTATGTAGTTCTATGTGCAGGCGCATGCATACACTGTAAATCCAGGGTGTCCAGCAACTGTGCGACAAAAGGTGCCCGACTCTAACTAAAACCTGTGCAACTTAAGTCGCACAGCTGCTGGACGCCTTGTAGTTTGACGCCCTTTCCTTGCAGAGGAGCCCAAGCAGGAGGTGTCCAACAACAAGGCACCCTACGTAGGCTTGGCCTGGACCCTTGTGCAGGGGAAAGGGTGCCAAACCAAAATGTGTCCAGCAGCTGTGCGACTTAAGTTGCACAGGTTTTAGCGTCGGGCACCTTTTGTCGCACAGTTGCTGGACACCCCGGATTTACAGTGTAGCTACCCATTCTTCTTGTGCTCCTTTCCATATCAACCGGAATGCTTTTTAACTACCCCTTTCATCGCCCTTTGCCCTTTTTAATTTCCACCTCTATTCCTCCAACCATATAGGTCACACCTAAAATTACTCCAGCCTCCCCGTGTGCATTTCCGCAGTAATTGACGGTTGCACCGACCCAAACGGGCGCCCCCCCCCCCACCCCTCGCGTTAACCGACCCCGCCCCCATCCCCTCCGCTCGCTCTTTCGCCCCCATAAGCCCAGTGACGAGGGTAGGTAATTGGCGGACCTTTTACTCTGTACAGAAGCAAGCCCTGCGTGGCAGTGAATATTGATGGCGCACACCGCCACGCCTCTCCCTTCCCGAGGGGACCGACTACACCGAGAGCAACCCTGCGAAAAACAAAAAAAGACAAACACTTCCGAGAAACTTTCGGAATCACCCGACAAACAATGCAATATGAAAACCAGCCCTCGCATTAAACCAGAGTGTTTGTCATTTCATAAAACACGACGCGCCAGAAGGTCGCGGGGGTGGTGGCGGCGCGCGTGGGCGGGAGTCGGTTTGTGCAGAGTTCATTTCCTGCGCGTGCCCCGTGAAATCAAAAGGCAGCCACGCGCTCAGCTCGACTCACCCCCCAGCCCGAACCCTCCCGCCCCGCCCCGCCCCGCCCAAGGCCTTTGCTCTTCCCTTTTCGCTCTCACTTCCTCAGCGTCAGCGTTCAGCGGCGCGCGGAGACAATGTGTGTGGTCGGTCGTCCCGTCTTCTAATTCAGAGGAGAGAAATGCCGATTGCAAAACACTCTGCGCTTCGCCACACATTCGCACAATCATGGCGATCGGCGGCAATTAAGATCCCATTAGCGGGCGGCATTCTGCGAGGCCCTAGTCTGCAAAGGCATCCGTACAAGTTGTGTGAGTTTCTGGTAATTTGTTCACTGGAAAAACTAATGTTACCATGGTAACGTTTCATCATGTGACCAAGACCGGTAACGTTTCCTGACGCGACCTACCCCATGCAAAAGGATAGGGCCGTCACAAACTGGTTGCATCACCAAACGTTACCTGGTTTGGTCGCGTCAAGAAACGTTACCTCGGTAACGTTAGTTTTTCCAGTGTTGTCGCCGGCCGGCACTGCGCGCCGCGCGTACCTCGTGCGTGTGCGAGCGCTCGCTGCCGGCGGGCGGGCCTAGCGGAGGGTCGCAAAGGGCTGCCAAAGGCAAGTCCGAGAAGTTTCAGTTCTTAAATAGTTTTATTGAAGTGATGGGGGGCCCTCTAGCTCATCAACGCGAGGCGAAAGTTTATGCACAGCAAGCTCTCATAGCGCCTGTTGTGTAGGCAACATCTCGCCGGTCATGCATACGTGTACTGCTGGGTGGCCTACCCCGAGTCTCGCAGGCGTCAAGCGCTCGTAATTTGCCGAGTGGATGGATGGGATTTACGATCGAAACGCAGCGAGCATATCTTCAACGTTAGCGTTGAATTAATGCTAGCGTAGGGGTCAGAACAGGGTGAGGGAGGAGTGGAAGAAGACCTTAGGAGCGTTGTTCTAACTAACGCAGAACTATACGCGATCTCCTCCACTTTTTTTTTTATTTTTTTTTTTGACCGGGAGTTGGGCTTTTGCATTTATTACGCCGAGCGGACTTTTGACCGTTCTGTGACGTGGGCCTGCACTCTGTCATAGTCGCGGGCTTTCCCTCACTGCACTTAAAGTACCCCTTCATGGCCTGTGCAGCCTGTTAGCCTGTTCCTCATTGAAGCACATTCCTCCCAAATTTCAGCAGATCCACAAGGTCGGTGAAAAATAGGTCAGACAATCTAGCTGCACCGGCTGCGTTGCTATGCTATCGTAAATCCACCTTTAGACGAGACCGGGCGGTGTACTTTCCTGGCGATCTCTTGGGTCGTTTTGTGAGACCACACGGAAATGATAAGGTGAGCATACTCAAAGTCAGCCCTGGACAGGATTAAGTATCCCGTTCTTTTCACGGAAAAAAATGTGACAGGACAAATTGCTCGTTTACGCTGCTCACATATAAAACTGCGCTGCACGGCAGCCTTTCTGTCAGCCGATCGACGGATTTACCGGGATACAAACACAATGAGACAATGCGCAGGAGAAAAGAAACTAGGTGGCCGACGCCCGTGGGAGCGCGGCGGCGCGGTA